GATATGGCTACACTCAATAAGTGTGGGAAGAGGAATGCTGAGACGTCCATCCAATGGCTGAGCCACAAATCCAACTCCTCTTCGGCCAGATAACTCAGTGACTCCAGCACATGTGCGCAGCGTGTAGGGAGAACCGGTACCCTTGAGGCCAAACAGGTCGAAGAATTTGGACCGAGCAAGAGACCTATTGCTCTGGTCATCAAGTACGGCATAGACTTTTATAGATCTTTCTGGTTGTTCTCTAGGATGCACTTTTATGAGACAGATTTTAGAGCAAGAGCGGGAGTTATTGGCAATTCCACACACTTCTGTGCATTTGGAGATTATGTCAGGACAAGCTGCTTCATCTTCCTCCCCGCCATGCTCATCCTCAGGGTCTTTGACAGCCCATGGAGCTGGTCCTGGATGAAGCGCTGTGACGTGCTTGTCACTGTTACACTCTTTACAGTGAATAATTGTTTTGCAGTCTTTAGCAAAGTGTTCAGTTGAGGAGCAGCATCTGAAACAAACTCCACTATCTCGCAGGAACGTTTTGCGTTCAAATTCAAATTCAAATTTTATTTGTCACACACATACAACCATACACAGTATGACATGGGGGTGAAATGCTTGTAGCTGTACAATGCCCGACCATTAAATGACAGAAGAAAAGTTTTACAATATTTACAATTTACAGTTTACTACAAAAATTTACAAATTAACTTAGGAATTTACAGTAAAGAATGTGCAAATAGCAGAAGAGATTATAAAGATAAGGATTATAAATTATAGGAATTATAGGATTATAGGAAATGTGTGGTGGTGCGTGTGGTGACGTGTGTGAGAGTCCAGTCTTATAGTGACGTGTTTGGGAGAGTCCAGTCCTACACCTGGTTCAGGCCCCGAATAGCCTGGGGGAAGAAGCTCCTCCTCATTCTCTCTGTTTTGGCCTTAAGGGAGCGGAAGCGCTTCCCAGACCTCAACAGTGAGAAGAGTCCATTGTTGGGATGGGAGAGGTCCATCATAATCTTCCTAGCTTTGGACTTGCACCGCTTGGTGTAGATGGACAGCAGGTCAGGGAGCTCTGATTGAATGATGCGTTCTGCCGAGCGCACCACCCAGTTCATCCAGTGTCTTAGCTCGGAAGCCCCTACACCGCTTGAGAGGGTGGGGTTTTTGTGAATCGGACACTGTCTGTCCACATCCAACTTACTGCTAGCTGACTCTGTGGGCTTGATGGCAGATGTTGATGTAATCTCTGTTTTGCGATGAGACGTGGTTCCTGGAATGCGTGTACCTTTTAGGTGAGTTTTCTGGTTTCACTGTCGTCATCCCAAATGAGCTAAATGCAAAACTTGGATCATTACGAGTGCGGGCTTCTTTGCAGACAAAGTCAGTGAAGAATGAGAATGGTGGAAACTGGCCTTGGTTTTGCAGCTTGTACGCACTGCCTTGTGTCATCCATTTTTCTTGAAGGCCATACGGCAGTTTCTCCACTATTGGGTTAATGCCACGAGAGGTATCCAGATAGGCGAGCCCAGGCAAACAACCTTCTAACTTTGCTGACCCCAACTCCCTTAACAAGTCACCAAGCTCTCTCAGGTTGAGAGGGTCCCTGTTGCTGATCTTAGGAAATCTCTCCAGTTTGTCCAGCAGAGCTTTCTCAATTATTTCAGGAGACCCGTAGTTCTCTTCAAGTCGCATCCACGCCATCCTGAGCCCTGCAGCGGGGTCATTGACATGAACAGCTCTGATTCTCCTGACTTGCTCAGATGATTGAGGACCTAACCATCTAGTGAGAAGGTCGAGCTCTTCATTGCAGGTGAGTTTTAGCCCTTCAATGATGTTCATGAAGGTAGACTTCCAGTCCCAATAATTCTCTGGACGATCATCAAACTTTGTCATCCCAGATGTCACAAGTTCCCGGCGAGCCATGTAGACAGCAAAGTCATTAATGCCGGTATGGTTCAGAGCAGAGGGCTGCGCTGCTTGCATTCTAAGAGGATGTGTGTGTGAGGTTCCTGCAGGGGGGTGACACTACATGGATAAATCCCAGGGTAATTCTGAGCAGATGGATGCTTCATACCATTTTCTTCAAAGGTAGTATGGCTCTTGACACGAGCTGGAGTGGAGCTCAGTCCATTAATGGCTGTACGAATGGGATTCAGTTCGTCGTCCTGGAGTGGTGGAGCATGAGAGAAATCGCGTGGCCGACTGGAGGTGATATGGGACTCAAGGCCGGGCAACGACAGCTGACTAGAGTGCATTCTTGACTCAACATAATCATTTGTTCTTTTTTCTGTGGAGTCAGGGGGAATTCCTATGATGTCCGCTGCCCTGAGATCTTGTTTAGAGTCGAGTTCTGCTACAGCTGATTCCAAAACCTCCGCCTCAGCTAAAGCCGCTGCAACTTCTTTCTCTTGCTTCAGTGTGGCCAGAGCAGCCTCCGTGCGTGCCTCTTCTACTCTCAACTGGGCTTTTTCCACCATGAGTTCAGTTTCTTTTTTGACAAAGGTGGAGCGAGCACGCACTGCTTCAGCTCTTGCGCGTGCTTTAGCAGCTGCTAGGCTTGCTGAAGACTTGCAGGAGCTGTTAGAAGAACTAGCAACAGATCTGGTCACATATGACTTCACAGATGTTCCTGGAGATCTAGTCTTCTGTTGATCTTCTGTATCTGGCTTATTGTCCATGATGACTATTCGGCAAGGTACAACTAAACGAGGCAGGAAGACTACTGAGCGTTAGCGGTCTCTGCTATCCAGACTTGCTGTATTATCCCAGGTGTGATGCTGTTTTTTCACTATTCTGTCCCCTGCGTGCGTGGTTCTGGTACACGAAGTGACAGATAGCTAAACATATGCAGTAAGCACTGAAAGCATTGAATGATGAGTCAGGTGTGAAAGTAAAGTTGAGGGCTGTTTACTTGTTTGTCTTCATCAACGTACAACTTACAGTGATTTCCCAGAACTTGTGAAACTACAAAAAATGCAAAAAGAAATATGTTCAATAAAGAATTATGCATTTGCTTCACATGGCGAACAGATCTAGGCATTTATCTATAAATCTCTCCAAATATGCATAAAATCAATAAAATATACAACACTCGCTACTTATAAAGATGAAACACAATTCAAACTTACAAACAATGCTTCTCCGTGGCATAACACAGGTGGATGCTTAAGGATTCTTCAGGGAGACTTCTGGTACGCCTCATTGTGCAAATCCCAATACTAAAATGGCTTCCTGTATTACCCCACTCATGTGACTCTAAACATCCAATAGGAAACTCTTCCTGTATTACCCCACTCATGTGACTCTAAACATCCAATAGGAATACAAGCCAAACCACATAAAAATTCACTTGACCGCAGTCTCCAAGCTAACCACTAGGAGATGCTAAAATTCTCAATGTGCACATAACATTACAAAAGGTGTCAATAATTACTTAAAATGTGAAATACATAAATATTTAAGTTTGTCATTCTTTCAAAAACTCATCTGCAAATGGTGTGAATTCAAAGTTGTTTGGCTACAATAATAGCAGACAAACTTTAAACCCTAGAGCTGGGAAAGAAACCGACTGGATTCATCCAAGAGGCTTCTTTAGATCTAAAACCAGTTCCAGGGATTGAAGCCCTAGTGGGGGTTGTCCCTTAAGAGTGTTGTTGACCTGTTTTAATCATGTGCCTCATTACATGAGCCAAGGTGTGAAAAAAGGCGTGGGTCATTACCACCAGGGGTTGGATGTTCCTGGTGACCAATTTCTGAGTTGACTAAATGAGGAAAAACATTTGAGTCTGAAACTAAGAAATACTAAGAAGAATTTAATGGACAATGTCAAAATATAATAACAAAGGCATTTAAAAAAAACGAGTAATCACGTTCCGCTATAATGCTTAACTGTGCAGCACCTCGCATCGTGCATTATGATCATTGTTCATAATGAGCATGTTAGCATGTTATACTCTAATTCCCAAAGAATGTACTCCTCATTGGCGAGTACAAAACTAGAACTCAACATCTCAGTGAGGTCAAATATCAGCTCTCTGACGTTTATATGTATTGCACAACAGCACTTGCCAAAAAGCATTCAACTTCAGCATATGGAACAATGTATGTGCCTCCCATGAAGAAGAAAAACACTCAAAATAAACCAATGTTAACATATAAACCAATGTTTCCATATTATTACATGGTGTTATTTTTGTGCCTGTATACAAACATTGCACTTTGTGGAGAAAATTAATTTGAGCAAAGAAAAGTTTAATTTGAGCGTACGGCAGGGCAGTATGGCCAAAAATATTTATCACGATATATATTTGGAAATTTGCGATAACGATATAACTGACAATATAATTGACGTGAGACAAAATACTTTACAACTCCACAACTTTATTAGTGCAAAAAAAACCATCAATGTATTTTCACTGAAACAAGCAGCTGTTTTCTTCAGTAAAAATATAAAAATGTAACAGTGCAAATGCAAATTCCTCACTAACAAAAGGCATTTCCAGTAGAAACTGGCCGACATATCCTCAGCATAACCATGTATAACATCCACAACACTTAAAAGACTGATAAGTCTTGCGTTAGGTGACTTAAGTAGGTCACATGGTGGGAGAAGGGCTCACAGTGGTTTCACCTGAAACTTCTGGTGGAAATGACACCTTGGCTCATGTGATGAGGTAAATGATAAATAGTATCGACTAAAGGGTCAACCCCTCTAGAGTTTAAATACCTGGGACTCTTAAACATTTGGTTTTAGCACTGAACACACCTCGTAGGCGAGGAAAGAAATGTCTTCACGAACCTTTAAGAAGTCCAGTCGCTGTCTTTCTTTCTTTCTAAGCTCCGTAGACAACTTGGAATAAGTTAAGTTTTCCATGTACAAACACATACACTACTTGTATGAGCCATATAATGTTCAGGTTCTGTCAATAATGTATGAACGGTGAGTATGTTTAAATTTTACAATGTTTTAGATTAAATTAAGGGTTATATTGTACTGTGTCTTTTCTCAGAATCACAGTAACTCCAGATGGCATCTTGTGGATTTATAACATCAGCAGAGCAGATGAAGGAAAGTACACCTGCTTTGCTGAAAACTACCTCGGCAAAGCCAACAGCACTGGACACCTGTCTGTGAGAGGTACACAACTCAACAACTCAGCCATAAGTAACAAACAACCTCATGCCACATGTCAGTGAGTTGAAGCCTTTGTTCCTATTGCTAGTCGCTATAATCATCTCAAAGTCGAGATAAGCTTAACTGTGCACTTTTGATTGCTTGTGTTCTCTTCTGACACACGTCCATGAATTAATTATTTCATTGAAATGTAATTATGTTTGAAAACGCATTCTCGTAAATTAATAGAACTGAGTGGTCCTGAACCTTCGACTGTATCAAGCATGAACGAGACAATATATAACATTCAGACTCTGATGAATGCAAAAGGAGGAACTCAGGGTTCACTGTCTTAATCAAACTTAGTTTTGGCATGGAGACTGGAGGAGCCACAGATCAACCCACCAATTCAAAAAAGTGTACGTGAACTGGAGACTGCTGGAACACCAGTAATGAAAGGATATGAGTCCTCTAGTCCAGTGGTCCCCAACCTTTTTTGCGCCACGGACCGGCTTATGCCCGACAATATTTTCACGAACCGGCCTTTAAGGTGTCGCGGATAAATACAACAAAATAAAACTAGTACCGGTACC